GGTTGGTATTGGTCAAACTGAAAATGAAGATTTCAAGTTGGATGCTCAGGGTGTATTGAGGTTCCGAGATGGGATTTGTATTCCCGATGATGTGGATTTGAAGAGAATGATCTTGGAAGAAAGTCATAGAAGCAATTTGAGTATTCATCCCAGAGCGACCAAAATGTATCAAGATTTAAAGAAACTATTTTGGTGGCCAGGCATGAAAAGAGAGGTGGCTCAGTTTGTTTATGCTTGTTTGACTTGTCAGAAGTCTAAAGTGGAGCATCAGAAACCTGTAGGGTTGATGCAACCATTAGAGATTCCACAATGGAAATGGGATTGCATTTCTATGGATTTCGTAACGGGGTTACCAAATACACCAAGAGGACACGATGCGATTTGGGTGATCGTTGATAGGCTTACGAAGTCGACTCACTTTATTCCTATTAACATCACTTATCCCGTATCGAAGTTGGCGGAAATTTATACGCATGTGATTGTGAGATTACATGGTATTCCTTTGTGTATTGTTTCAGATAGAGATCTGAGGTTTACTTCTGAATTTTGGAAGAGCTTGAAAGAGGCTTTGGGCTCAAAGTTGAGGTTGAGTTCAGCTTATCATCCTAAAACTGATGGTCAGGCGGAAAGGAAGATTCAATAGTTGGAAGACTTGTTACGTGCTTGTATTCTTGAACATGGTGGTTCATGGGATACATATCTTCCTTTGATTGAGTTTACTTATAACAATAGTTTTCATGCTAGTATTGGAATGGCACTGTTCAAGGCTTTGTATGGTCGGAGGTGTAGAACTCCTTTGTGTTGGCATGAGTCGGGTGAAAGTGTGGTGCTTGGACCAGAATTGATTAGAAAGACTACTGAGACGGTAAAGATGACTAGTGAAAATATGAGAATTTCTCAAAGTTGACAAAAGAGTTATCATGATAAAAGGAGAAAAGACTTGGAATTTCAAGATGGTGATCATGTATTTTTGCGAGTTACTCCTACAACCGGCATTGGGCGAGCATTGAAGTCGAAGAAGCTAACTCCTCGCTTTATTGGTCCTTACTAAATTACTAGTAAAGTGGGAAAAATGGCTTATAGAGTGGCGTTACCGCCAAATCTTTCGAACTTTCATGATGTGTTCCATGTGTCGCAACTTCAGAAGTATGTTCTGGATCCTTCACATGTGATTGAGATGGATGATATTCAAGTTCTAGACAATCTTATGGTGGAGACGATGCCTTTGAGGATCGAAGATCGTGAGATGAAGTCTCTTCGTGGCAAAAAGATCTCCTTGGTTAAGGTTGTTTGGATAGGAGAAGCTGGTGAAAGTGCGACGTGGGAGTTAGAAAGCAAGATGCGGGATTCCTATCCCGAGCTTTTCGAGTCAGGTAATTTCGAGGACGAAACTTTTATAAGTGGGAGAGAGTTGTAACGCCCCTTTTTATTTAATATTATATTATATTAATATTTTCGAGTTACCGTTATATCTGTTAATATATTCGGCGACATTTTATTGGGACCGGAAATTATTTGATTCGGTCCGGAATTTGTTTTGACGGACCGGTAATTATTTTATTCGGTCTGGTATTTGTTTTGAGGGACCGATAATCATTTTATTCAGTCCGATATTTGTTTTGAGGGACCGGTAATTATTTTATTCAGTCCGGTATTTGTTTTGAGGGACCGGTAATCATTTTATTCGGTCCGGTATTTATTTTTTGGGACCGGTGATTATTTTGTTTTATCTGGTTTTTATTCCGTTCGGTTCGATAAAATATTATTCGGACCGATATTTAATTTTTAGGAGTTATTTTAATTATTTGGGGTAATAATATTATTTAGTGTTAATTAGTAGTATATTTTAAGAAGGGATTTTTGGTATTTGTTTAGCTTGTGTCTTGCTACTAAACAAACCAAACCCACCATTTCCTTGTTTTATGTCATAACACAAAAACACACTTAGAGGCTTAGAGAGAACTAGAGAGAGTCTTGGAGGAAGAGAAGAACAAGAACACAAAGCTTGGGTTTTGGGTTGGTTGAAACATCAAGAATCTTTTCAAACATCTAAGGTAAGGGGTTTGATTTTTCAATGCTTATAGTTAGGGTTTGATTTGGTATATTTTGATTTGGCATAAAATTGATGTTAGGGTTCTTGAGATTTGTTGAGATAAATTAGGAGAATTAATTTAGGTGTTAGTGTTGTGGGATTATTGTTATGTTAACAGAAATTAAATTAGGAAAACTAAATTATATTAATTAAGTTTAGTTTATAACCTAAGAACTAACAATATGTTCATTATGAGGTTTAGAAACATGTACTAGCAGCATATTCATAAGGTGAAGTTTAGAAACATGTACTAGCAGCATATTCATAAGGTGAAGTTTAGAAACATGTACTAGCAGTGTTTATAAAATGGAGTTTATAACAAAAGTAGCAGTATGCAATTGAAATGGAGTTAACAAAACGTAAAGTAGTAGTATGTTACGTTTCAATAGTTATTAGTTGTAGGTATAATAGAAGTTAGGCTTCTAAAATTAAACTAACAGTATTAATTGAAATGAAGTTTAGTAATTGATACGAAGTTTAGGAAAAAAAACAAAAAGAAATAGCAGTACATTCATGCAGTATAGAAGTTTAGAAACTAAAATAAAATTAGCTTAATATTACGTTATGCAGTATAGAAGTTTAGCTGCTAAAACTAAACTTACAGTATGGAAAAAGAAGTTTAGAAAAAATTAATTAATTAATTTATGTTTTGTTTTTCTTTTCTTAATTTAATATATTAAATATTTATATTAATTAAATACAAATATGACATAAGTTAGCCGATTTAATTTGGAACCCGATTATGTTCCGATTTCCCGATTTCGGCAATTTCGGCGACAGTGCAAGTTGCTCCGAATTTAACGAAAATTGACGTGCTAGCTAATTTTTACGTGTAGAACGTCGTGGCGAGGTTAGTTTTTTGAGATTATGATTTTTTAATGGAGCAACCTGAAATAAGTCAATTTACGGTTAAGTTGAACCGGGTTGCGTTTGAGTCGGTTTAAGTCGCGTGTGGACAATCCGATTGCGACGATAATGTTTATAATTGATGTTGATTATTGTGAATGACTTTTGCGACGATTATTGATGTTTGACTATTTTTCCGTGTTTGAAATTTAGTGAATTATTTGATAATGATGTGGTGTGATTAAATATGATGTTTACGACGGTTTATTTATAATGAATACTTGATGATATGCGATGCGATGATATGTTTATCTCGATGTGGATGAATATGGCGACGTGGGTTTTATGCCAATTTTGATGTGCGATGATGATGTTTTGTTGTGTCGTGTTTGTGATGTCGTGTTGTCAAGTCACATACATTACATTGGCGACGAGGGCTTTTATGCCAAGCGACGAGGGCTTTTATGGCAAAACGACGATGGGCTTTTATGCCGAATGTCCCTAATTATGGACAAAGCGACGGGTACCACATGCATAACATAGTCGTGTCTCATGGAGTCGGTTATGTTTATTTTTGAGTCGTTTGGCATTGAGTTTTATTTGATGGCTTATAATGAATTGCGATGTTATATGATACTTTGTTTTGTGATGATTTTTGTGTTGAACATAAATTGATTATGATGTGATAATTTCATGGAAATTATGCGATGGATATAACATGACGGTAAAGCGACGATATGAGTTTATGGCGATGGAGTTTATGTCTTGTTTTAACCTGATTATGGTGATTATGTGATGATATTAATGTGTTGATCTTATACACTAAATGACGATTTTAAAGTATGTGAGATTTGATATTTGTTGACATATTCTTATTAAACTATATCATTTATGATTCCAAAACTATTTATATATTTTATCATGCCTTTAATTATATGTTTTGGAGTATCTCACCCTTTACTTGTTTCACCGTTGCCTTTATATTGGTAACGTGCAGGTGATCCACGAGAATGATGAGGATTAGCTCGAGTCTCTTTATTTTGAGTCGCTCTGCTCTGACAGTAGTAACACTCGGGATTTGGGCGATGTTATTATTTTGATAGGATAGTTTATGTATACTATCTTATGACTTTATGTATTGATGATAACATGATGATACGTACATTTTGTGAACACATCCGCTGTGCTGTGATTAGTCATATGTTTATATGATGATTTATGTTATGAATCAGTATATCCGACTTTTGATTTTGTGATGTGAATTATAATCCAAAGTGATGAAAAACATGAATATGTGATACCTCAATTTATGTTTGGATGAAATTTTAAAAACTCTGATTTTATTATTAATTACGAGGAGTAGAATTGAGATGTTAGAAAAAGTGCATTCAAGTGTTATGCAGTTTTATGCATGAGAAAGCCCAAAGATTCAAGACTTATTTTATTCTAATTCGTTCAAGATTCATTGGTTAAAAAAACCTTAAAATGTCAAAAAAAATAATATTACAAATACGTGTTCTTTCAAAAGAAGCAAGTCAAAATTACAAAGAAACATTATGAAAAGTTCAAGTACTGAAGGTTTTTTGATCAAGTTTTCTCATACTCTACATTCCATTTCCGGTTCAAATTTCATCACCAAGTGAACGAGAGCTCTCTTCTCCACAGAACCTTTTTCTCTGAGTTTGTTACTCTTGTCTTCAACAACCATGGTTGTTGCTCAGAAACTCAAGGAAGATGAAATCACTGAGCAAGATTCACTTCTCCTGATAAGGAATATGCTCTGAATTGCCATTTTCAACATCAGTTATATCAGAGGACTATTTCCTGAGAAGTACTTCAATGACAAGTCTGTTCCAATGTTAGAGATGAAGATCAAAAAAGCTTTTTCCAGTGGATGCTGAGTCTCGTAGACTGATCGATTGGAAGGAAAGGTGTTGCTGACTTTCTTCAAGAAGTAACTTCAAAAAAATGATCAAGCATAATACTGGGTGCGCAAAGACTTATTGAGGGGCTTTCCATTCCATCTAAGAAGACCAAGAACCAACCTACTGCAAGCCAGATCTCATAAAACCAGCCCAACACAGATCAGAAATAGGCCCCTGTATTGAAACCACATAACTGTAATTACCACCCTGCATAAGTTAAAAAAGAGAGAAGAGTATTCAATAAAACAGAAGAAAAACTCAGAATATATCAAAAAAATCAGAAACAAACTCAGAATTGCCAGCTCACCAAAACAACCATAACAAAAAAATAACTTTATCATTTTTTTATAACAGATTTCTAGACTTCTCTAATAGCCTAATTGATACCCTTCAATTCCCTAACAGAAATCTAGATCCAAGGGTTCAGATCTATTGTTCCCTAACTGGATTTTCTACTGGTAACAAAATATAAAAGAGAAAAATGTACTAGATTGGATTCATTCTTCAAATTTGGCAGAAGAATCTTCAATCTTCTCTCTGCTCCTCTCACCTTCATTATTCAATTATCTTCAAAAGAATCATGCTCCAAATTTCTCTCTTCTTGCTCTCCCACTCTTCACTCTTCATCACCATCACGTTCATTCTTCATCTGTGAGAAGAATCATCAAAACTCTTTGATTCTCAGTAAACCTCCAAGTTCTCTCTACTTTCTGCTTCGTCATATTCATAGCTCCTACAACATCATTATAAACAACTTTGCACCAACACCTTCATCATCACAAATCTTCACACATCTCTTCAAGCTATCTCGCAGCTCCATAATCCTCTTCATAACAACAACAACATCCTCCTTTATCTACATCATCAACATCATGCATTGGAGAACAACATCAACGTCAAATCTACAATCGTAACAACTCAGAACTCACACAGAAAACAAAGAATAAGAAGTAGAAGAGAAGAAACAAGAAGTGAAATATTTAGCTGAACTCGTATATCGCTGGAAACGGACCATAATAGCCACCGTCGAGGCAAGTTACGCGATCTTTTTTTTCTTGATTTCTCAGTGCCACAACATAGTTCAAGATTTGCTGGATCTTTCCCCTTTGCTTATGACTTGAAATCTCACTTCATCATGGTAAAATCACTATTTGTGAGCATCTTTGGGTTTTCTTTGATGAACTAGATTTGGAGTTCGATGAGGAATAATGGAAAACAAGGTTGAGATTTAAGTTAGGGTACACGCGTGGAAGTCTCTGGTTGCGGAGGAGAGAATTTTGTCCCGGTGGCGATGAATCAGAGAAGAAGAAGCTCAGTTACGCCGCTGATTATTGAGAGAGAAGGAGGAGATCGTGTTTTGTTAAACTAAAAGGTCACAAAAGTCGTAACCATATCCTTCTCAGGCTAAACAGGACCGTTCAATTATTATTTTGGTTTTTAAATTTTTTTTAATTCAAAGATAGATAATAATTCTACTAAATGTTAATTAAATCATGATGATGCTGAAGATCTTTTGGATTTAGTAAGAAATTGGATAAAGGGCCGGGTCATACTCCACCTGAAGCCCCAACGTGAATTTTTTTATACAAGTTAATTGCTTTTGCTAACAAAAAATAGTATTAGGGGCTCAAGCTGAATGGGTGTAGCGCCCAGAGTTTCATCAGTGGATTACACCACTATAAGATGCACCCCCCGGCCCGTTACTCTGTTTTTTGTACACTTGATGCCTCAACAAAAAAAGGCTTTTCTGGACTTCTCTTCAATGGGCCTTCAACGCCTAATTGCTTCAGCATGCCCCCTGATTTCAACTTAAGACCCCCCTTAAATTTAATTCCTTTTTAGATTTCCATGACATTTTCATTATTTTTTTATATATTTTTGATAAAAAATTACAAAATCGACAAGACTCGTTATTTTTTGTGATTAGGAACTAATATTCTAGTTTTTGATAGTATTTTTTAATAAAAACAATAGAAAGCAGTAGAGTATGATAGAATTCTTTTAGAACTTCTTTTTTAAGATTTCAATTAGAATTTTTTATTATTGTTTACGCTTAGCAATCATTTTGTTACTCGAGACTCGTGATTCACCTTTGCTTGTTATTCGAGTCTTATGCAGGTTTACTATGCGATATACATATGCGCTTGAGATTTCGATTGTGATTTATTTTCACATCGATGATGCTTCAACACTTATTATGTGATTTTTATTTCTGACTCTTTTCTTGAATTGGTGAAGCTTTCGCAAAGATCATCAGGTTTCTTGTTTTGATACGCTTCGCTACAGATTGATATATGTTTGGTATTTCCCCTTGATTATATCATTTCAACATTTACCACTTTCTAGATATCATGAGAAGTAGGAACTTTACTGCTTTCTAGATATCATGAGAAGTAGGAAATAAAGAGTGTGTGTTCGAAGTCACTATTTAAAGTCCTGTAGTAGGCACGACTTTTTGTATGCTATTTGTGTTTGTTTAAAATCCTACCTTTGAAGTAGGTATTCTACACATGTGTTTACATTTGTGCCCACATTATATTACAGATGATAAGTCCTCAGAAGAAGGCGAGTGGGGAGGGTCCGTAATTGACCCCTGCGTATTCAGAGTCGTGTAGATCTTGTGTATCGAGTCGTTCATGTGGGGAAGGGTTCGCAATTGACCCCCAGACTTTGTCAAGAGTTTGCAATGGCCATTGTTGATACTTGGATACCCGCTTGTTTGCTTCGGGTGATCTTCTCCCCTTAGCTAAAGCATTTCTTTTCTTTTTTATTTCATTTATCTCCTTCTATTGTTTCCCACATCCTTTTGAGTCAGTATATGCTATTCATGTTTGTGTGATTTTGTCAAAGCAATTGCTTGCTTATTTGTTTGTTATACCATGTTCCGTTAGGATCACTCGATTAGAGTAGCTTTCGAGCTAGACATTAGGATAGGTATCCATGCATGCTAACATAGGGTAGATATTTCGCTTTAAAATCTCAACCATAGGATCAATCATTGGATGATAACATTAGGGATAGATCTAGGTTGTTATTTCTTAGATGTTTTTCTTTATTTTGCATCCTTGAATTAATACTAAAACTCTTTTTCTTGAAAAATGTATAAAACATCTAACAACCTCCAAATCCTTCTTTAAGGTCAAAAATATCAACCAATGCAATATCTTTTACGCCTTCGGGCTTTTCTTTCTAATCTTTTTGAAAAGAACATGTTAATTCAATTATGTGCTAATGTGTGAGTGTGATACGGTGGGAAGAGAACTGACTATTTTAGAATGCTGGTTCGCGTTTTGCGTTTGTTTTCGCAAAATGTCGCGGTCAGCAAGAGTTGTCACCGACTTTTATTTTATTCAACAAGGAAAGGAAAAAAGCACAGAAAAATTCCTTTTTTGAGATTATTCTCGGGTCCGGGGGGTAGATTATAGAAAGGTAAGGTGTTAGCACCCTTTCTATCCGTGGTTATCCACGGGCTCTTAGGTATTTGCTCAAAGTGTTTTCAAAATTTGCTTTACTTTGTGTTTGTGGGTTTGAAAGGAGTTTTTGTTTGAAAGGTGTAAGTGCGAAAAGTTTTGTTTTGTTTTGAGAGAGTAAGTACTTAAGAACCATCTACCTACTCGAAAAAGGAATTAATCTGTACAAATGTCCTTTAGATAATGTTATCCCACTATTGAGGAATAGGCAGCATTGTCGTTGGAGTTTTAAGGGTCAATTCGATTAAGGGACGTGTGGTCACTAAAACAATGTTAGGATGCCTTAGCGGTAACCCTAATGTCTTAGATCATTTTTCCGAGGAAACCGTTTCGAGGCAACTATGGTCTTTGGACAAGAGGGCGACCTCTAAAACTTCCTATACTCAATGACCACGTTCGAAGGCAACCAAGTGGGGTGTACCCTAAGAGTGCGCATGTGCGAGTGTGTTGTTTCGGTTAATTTTATCTTTGTACATGTCACGGGTGAGCTATGTTGATTTTAAGTTCATACATTCGATCTTGTCATGCATTCCCTATTATCAAACATCTAACAGTATATAGTTGCGAAAATTAAATTGCGGAAATTAAATCTAACTATTACAAGGCGTCGGGTATTTACAATGCCAAAAACAACCCTTGAATTTAAAATGTGGAAAGTAAAATAAAGCGATAAAATAAAGTCCTATTTAAGCTAATACATTCCGGGAAACAGATACATCAATATGGAAAAATAGATTGCGTGCAGGAATTTAAATCGAATGCGGATTTTTTAGGGTTTTGACCCTTTTTTTTGAAAGAAAGCATTTTTTTTGTTATTTTTGAATTAAATGGAATTAAACCTAAGTTAATTATTAAATAAATTAATTAATTAATTAAAAAAAGTATTTTTGGATTTTTGGATATTTAAAGAAATAAAATAAATTAGATTAATGTTAATAAAACCTAATTATCTAAATTGATTTTAAATATTGCAAAAATATTACAAGTTAAACCTAATTAAAACTAAATTAATTAATTTAATATTTATTTACAAAAATAAAGTCATGAATTTAATTTTAATAAATAAAATATATTTTTGTGTTTTTGATTTTATGAGGAAAATAATTTAATTGGTCAATTAAACAATAAAAATAATTAGTAAAACAAATAAATAAAATAAGATAAAAAATAAGAAAGAAATACTCAATGGGGGTGTTGGGCCTGGAAAGGGAGTGAGATTGGCAATTCTTTGGCCCAACAGGCGCATGCCTGTATTGACTTTTGCAATTCCATGTGACACGTTGACCCTGGGTGTATGGTGGATATCACCTTTGGGCCATTAGATTTGGCCTGGAGGCCATCTGGCGCTTGGGATTCGAAGGAGTATGATGGACCACGCCATTGGCTTTGCATTGGATCATCTGTAAGAAAAATACAAGAAATATGTTGGGGACCTGGGATTTGAACCCAGGTCCCGTTGGTACTTGAACACCTGCCTTAGCCACTGAGCCAATGCGCTTATATTGTTAGTGGATTAGGTATCAAATATTATATGGACAAACATTTATTATGCTTGAAATAAAAAAAACAAGCGCGAAATATTTGAATGAGCGTATGGGATGGGGACACGTCTTCGTCCCCGTCCTTGGATTTTTACAGGGATTACCTGCGGATTCGTATCCGCAGCAAAAAGCGTAGGTTGAACCTAAAACCAAATCCAGGCCATGAAAATTCAATCTAAAGCCATGGTCCTGTTCGTCTCTCCTTCCTGGTTTCATCCATGTCCATTATTGGTTCTAATTTTCCCTGCAATTAAAATGCCCAAAAACGAATTTCCAAAACCCTAGGTTCGTGTATGGCACTACATATCACATAAATACAATCAAATGATA